CCAAATAACATGACAGATGGTACCATGTGCATTTTAAAAGTCTTAAGATCTGTGGTATTGCTCAAGTTCCACTGCAGATTAAAACTTTTAATCAGGTAGGTTTTTTTTTAATAAAATAAACCTATCTCATAAAATGAACAGTTGAATAGTTTAATGTAAAAGAAAGCATTTCAAAGGATATTTCATTTAAATGCAAATGTGGACTATGAGTTATTAAAGAGAATGGAGCATTTCATATTCTTGTTTTTCTAGACTCCTGGGATCAAAGTCACCTTTTGAACTTGCAAAGTAAGCTTCTAAACTTATATCTTACTGTTAGGATTTAAGTTCCTTGTTTTCACTATTAAAAGACAAATGCTACCTGAAGCTTTATCTGCAGCATTAATTGTCCCGTAAAGGCAAGGGAACTGAATTAAGAGGGGAAAGGGTAGGACTCTAGAACATTTAGGTCATGGCTTTGGAATCCGAGCTCTCAGCAGTTTCATGCTTTGTGGATAATTAAAATCGATACGAAATAATTACAGAACTAGAAGGATCTCCAGATACCTAATCCAGTCCCTTGTCTCCAGTAGAAACTAGCTCTAGTCTAAACTAACTTCTGCACAGACACTCGGGTTGTGTGAGAGAAGTTGGGACTCCAGATTCATTTTCCGCACTTACCAAGAATATTGCAAATGTTTCTTGGTAACCAGTGTTCAAAAAGAGATTATGGTTTTTATGAGCATGACACTGGTATCATGAAACTATCTTCTACAGTCTCAAGATAAGTAATGGAAGGCAGTGATGGCCAAAATAAGATTCATCTCTCACATTACATTTGCAGAGATATTAGGGTTTCTGACAATGCCCCATCTGCTAGGTTGTCTTGTCATTTTTTGTGGATCTTATATCTTAAAAGTTCAGATCAGGTGCTACTTTCTCCATGAAGCTTACCAATCTCAATTCTCACTGGTTATTTTATTTTTGGTTCCTTTATTTAATAATGCTTTAGGATATATACATAACCCTATAGTAAAACTATAAATGACCATATAAAGCAGCATTTGCCATCTCTCTACTTAGATGAGATGTGCTTGAATGCTAGTTCCCAAAGCCTAACACAATACTCTTTACTTAGTCACTACTCAAAAAATGCTGGTTGATGACTTTTTTTTCTAAATCTGGTTGAAATTAATTCTCTTTATTATTCTGTTCTCAGGGAAGATGAGGACAAGAATGAGAAGTATTGAGTCTCCTGGTTTCAATTCTGTATTCCAACATTGTATTTTTCTTTATACCATTTCTAAGGCTCCTTTTTGTTATGAACTCAAACATTAGAACAGAGTGAAACAAATATTTCCAAATTCCATTAATATTCCATTTCTTTAAGTGCTTTTAAAGAAGCAGGGTCTTGCTCTATTGCCCAGGCTATAGTGCAGTGGTGCAATCGACTTGCTGCAGCCTCAAACTCCTGGGCTCAAATAATCTTCCTGCTTCATCCTCCTGAGTAGCTGGGACAACAGGTGCCTGCTGCCATGAACAGCTAATTAAAAAAAAAAAAAAGTTTGTAGAGATGGGGCTATGTTGCTTGGGCTGGTCTTGAACTCTTGGTTTGAAGCATCCTCCTGCCTCAGGCCCCCAAAGTGCTGGGATTACCAGCATGAACCACTGCACCGGGCCACTTTAAGTAAAATTTAATGTGACCATATTACTTTGCAACAAAAGTTTCTGGATGATTCCTTGGACTTTAATTTATTTTTAGATACACTTTCTTCCTAAACAAAAGGGCCATGGTTATTGAAGTATTTTGTAATTTTGTAAACTAGTAGAATACAAAATGCCTAAGGTAATGTGTCAAGTTAGATTAGTGGACTGGACCAACAATACTTTCTGTTTCAGAAAGGTCAACATTGAAAATGTATGTGTGTCTGCATTACTGAATTGAATTGGCGAGTTGAATATTTAATTGTGTGCTATGTGAGAATAACTGCAGTGAGATACATATCATTTAAAACATTTCTTAATAGAATCTACACACACACAAATACACATATACTATGTAACACTTTAGAAGAAAGAGATGGATCGTTTTTATTGTTAGAGAAGGTCTTAATAAAATTTTATATATTACGTCTACTTTTCAAAATAGAAGAAAGCTTCGCAAAAATAGAAAACAGATTTTAATCAAGAGTTAACGTTAGACAGCCATATGGAACTGCATCCTATTTCACTGTCTTGCCATCCTTGACTACTGTTCAAAATGAAAGACTCCTATTACAGGAAATGTTTCCCATTGATTATTTCTACAACCAACAGTCTCTGCCATCATTTTTCCATATTCTCCGACTTGCATCTTACATTTCTTTACAAATGCTTCTTCTTCCTCCTTGAGCTAATAGACACATGATTAGTTCATCTGCCAAAAACTCAAGACATCCCAGATGGAGGCTATTCATCATTACACCAAGTGGGGCTGAAAAGAGAGGAGAGGGCTGAACACAGAGATGACGTCCTCCTCAGTTTCCACTGCCGTTCAAGGACCATCACTTTCCTCTCATGGAAAACCTTTCCTCTGCACGCACATCCCAGCACTGTCTTCTAATCACTGAGGACACTGAAATCTGGCTTACCATTTTCATTTTAGCCTCTTTTGTACAACTTTAGTGTCTTTGTGGAGAACCCTTCAATATGCCAACCTCCTCTACTGACATTCCATTCAGCAAACATCAAAACTAAGGTCCAAAGAAAAGAATTCACCTTTATTTGATTCCTTATTAAAATCTCTCTCTTTCTCCATTCAGGCTTTATAGCCTTTAACCCTTTCTGTCCTTTAAAATTATCCATTTAATCTTCCAGAAGCACCACATTATTGCAGACAACGACTGCTTCCCATTATCACATGTCCAGTCTTCTTATCCTGGAATTCAGTTAGCTTCAAAATTGGTTCTTAATCACTGTCTCCAGACATTTCTTTAATTACTTGCATGAGATTATAACTCCAAACATGCCTAGCTTTCCAGACTCCAAATCTTTCTCATGTTCTCTTCCATATTTTCAATTCTCTTCCTCCCCCACCACCCTGAATAAGTATTCCTTTTAAAACCCACATTTCCAGGCATTCCATGACATTTCCATTCGAAAGTGTTCATGTCCTTCTCTAAACTTCTACAGAATTGTGTCCCACTGTCTGAAAGCATTTACTTTCCTGCTTTGTGGTTAACCATATATTTATCTAAGTCTCCTTAACCACCTGGAAGATAGAACCAGCTTACTGTATTAGTAAAATAGGATATTAGTTCAGTTTCTGCTTCTAATTAGTGTTTCTGACTTATCTCTTCACTTGTATGAACTACAGTTGTAAAATTTATCATGCAAGGATACTGGTTACAGTGCTTTGAGTTCTGTATGTGTTCTATGAAATCATCAGGAAACCGGACCAGGGCTTTCTTTCCTATGTTTATTTTTTCCACATCACTCTCTGTGTAGTAGCCTAATAACAGTAGATATTCAATAAGTGTTCATTGACTAAGAAGAAGGTATTTACTAAGTTCCTTTGTATAGAGCACAATAATTTATAAGGAGTTTCTAATCTATTCAAGTGGCTGGTTCTTCAGTAATCTACTACTTCTTTTATCCCATTTGTGGTTGGGATTTCTCATGGAGCCTCATTGTGTTCAGCTGTTCTTGCATTGCTGTAAAGAAGAACCTGATAGTGGGTAATTTATTTAAAAAAAAAGAATGTAATAGGTTCATGGTCCTGCAGACTTTATGAAAAGCATGGTTTTGGCATCTGCTCAGCTTCTAGGGAGGCTTCAGGAAGCTTACAATCATGGCAGAATGCAAAGGGGAAGCAGGCACCTCAACTGGCCACAGCAGGGGCAAGAGGTGAGGGGTGAAGGAGGTGCCACATGCTTTTAAACAAATGGATTTCTTGAGAATTCATTCACTAGCTTGAGGACAGTACCAAGGGTATGGTGCTAAGCCATTCATAAGAGATCTGCCTCCATGGTTCAATCATCTCCCACCGGGCCCCCTCTCAGATACTGGGAATTACAATTTAACATAAGATTTGCCAGGGACATATATTGAAACTATATCACCCATCTCACAGACCACAGCTTCAGCCTATGGCAAATACTAAAACTAGTAGAAAAAGCACGGCATGTCAGATTTGGCAAAACAGATTTTTAAGTAATAGTGACAAGTCATACCATGTTACAACGCCATGGTTGCTTTGAAAATACTTTGCAAAACTTCTCAACTACAATTCATCATATAGCTCTTGTACCTTGTGACTATTTCTCTAATAAAATGACATAAAATTGGTACTATTACTCACCACTGCCAAGGCTCCATCACATGATTCATCTTGCTTGAACCTTACTTACTAGGTCAGAAGTTATAACTTCTTTCTGCTGACTTGGTTGCCTATCATGACTAATTTTGCATAATTATATAGATGTTTCTTTAAAGGATGATATCTTGTAAACATTGCAATTTGTATTTTTCAGAAGCTTATACCTTTTTGGTTGTATGTACTGATAAATAATATTTAAAATTAGTTTATTCTTATAAAGATTTCAGAATTTTAAAATCTCTGAGAAGCAATATAAGCTAAAAGATGCTTAATGTTCAGTGTAGCTGAAATATGTCATATACTTAGAGGAAGGTTTTTCTTTTTAAACAGTTTAATAATGGTAAATTTGGCAAGTACCATACCACCCCCCTTTTTGCCGTGTATAGTACAAGAGTGGTGATAATGTTAGCTATTAGAGATACTGATTTTTTTACATTTGTCCTGGAAATAAAGGCTGAGTAAAAGATGAAAATATTTCTTATAAATAAGTTACTACAAACAGTGTAGTTTTTATTTAAAAAGTAAAAAAAAGCTTCTAACTCAGCCTCAGGACATTTATTTTATTTGTGTACCATCTAATATTTGTTTTGTTTTTTTAATTTTTACATTTTTAAATTTTATTTTTTTAATAATATTTCTTTGTTTCTTTCTTTTTTTTATAAAGATGGGATTTCACCATGATGGCCAGGCAGGTCTTGAACTCCTGACCTCAGGTGATCCACCCACCTCGGCCTCCCAAAGTGCTAGGATTACAGGAGTAAGCCACTGCGCCCAGCCACCATCTAATATTTGTAAGTGGACTTCATTTTATCTTGGGAGTTCAGAATGCAAATATAACAACAAAATTCCTGGGGGGAAAATGCAGTTATTGAAAACTCCCTTAGAGAATTATCAAATGCTACTTTATTTACTACAATAAACAAAAGAATATTGTGATCACAACATAAAAAATGAAAATAATCCATATTTGAGGCAGAACAGAAATAAAATTAAGTTGTAATAAATTCAAAACAGAAATATGCCTTATTTGTAATTACCTTATTTATGACAGCACTTAATTTTTCCTTTAAATATAATTTTGAAGAAACTAAATTTCTGACTAATTTTTTATTTTAATCAGCACACACACAGTGTAGCCTTATGTCATATTAACTAAGATTTATATACAGTATACCAAAGTGCTTGAGATTAATGTAGAATAATTTTGAAGGAAAAATGTTTTTTCCTTAGATGTGTGATATGATTCAACATTTGATACTTAGAATTTCCTTTAAAATGCTGCAGAGACAAATTGTACTCAAATTCAAATAAGAGCAATTTCCGTTATTCCATACCAATCCTGGAAATGTGTGTGAGAATTACAACTGCAATCACCACCACGTCAGTTTCCTTCGTTGTTGATTTCTTAGTAAAACCAGTATAAAAAAAAGTGTAGCTACAGGTATGTATAGACAAAACTGAACTTAAAAATAACACAATTCAGCTGTTTGATTTATTTCAGAATAAATAAGTAAATATTTAATTTTTACACATTATTTCTAAACTTTGGAAATATATATGAACCTTGACTTGATTTTTTTTCTTACCTGAACATCTATGGATGATTAATTGGATATTTAGCCTAACATGTTCTTTTATGTATGTTTTTCTTTGTAGGAAGTTATAAAGCTATGCACAGATATACATATACATATATAATTACACATATTATATGTATATGTTATACATATGCATATATGTATATAATATATCATACATATCTTACATGTATATTATGTCTGTGTATGTGTCTGTATATGTGTGTGTATATATATGTTTCTTTTTTTTTGTAAAATTACGCAGTTTTAGGTTCATCAATGATGTGATTAGTCAAGTGTTTTCAAGCCAAACCTCTCTCCTCTGTTCAGGAAATGAGATTAGCAGTGCTTATATGACACACTCCTTGAATCATCAGTCTTTGGTACTAATTTAGTCAAATTAGGGTTATGCTTCATTACTAATGTAGATTTTGACAGTGTAATCCACAGACATGAATCTCATAATATTAATAGGAAGTCAATTCCATTTCTATAGAGAGAGTAAAGAATGGACAATTTTGCCGGTCCACCCATATTCAGTCCCTTGTTTTGCCTCCCACAAGCAACATGCCTCACACATATCCTACCTATAACTGAAGGCAGCCCTTCTTGGTTTTACCACTTTTTCTCAGTTCTTTAGTCTTGGTAGAAGAAGGTTTAAGGGGAAATAAAAGACGTCTAGTTCTAAATATCCAGTTTCCTCTTCAATGGCACCACTCAACCTAATACTGTTGAAAGAAAAATTCAGGACCCTTTTTTTTTTAAACAGTAACATCCGTCAGAAAATTTTAGGCTTTAATAGACTAATAATACTGTAGCTGATTAAAAACACACAAATAGTTGTATATTAGAGAAGTCCTAAATAAAACTCCTTTGTTTATATTTCAATAAAATGTCCCTTTAAAAATATTTAAAATCTGAAGTAAAAATTTCCAAAAGATCCTCTCTTCCAATGAGGGAACAGGTTTAATCAAGCCTCAAGAATTTGTAGGGCTTCTGGTGAATATCAGGTGTCTCCTAACTGAAGATACAGCAGGAAACAAGATGTCTTGTTTTTGAGATGTTTACATTCTAGTCACACTTAATGGATAAAAGCATATTTGTAGCCAGGGGACAGTGGCTTACACCGTTAATCCCCACACTTTGGGAGGCCAAGACGGAAGGATCTCTTGAGATCCGGAGTTTGAGAACAGCTTGGCCAACGTGGCGAAACTTTGTCTTTACTAAAAGTACAAAACCTAGGCATGTACAGGTGGCACCCACCTGTAATCCCAGCTACTCGGGAGGCTGAGGCAGGAGAATCACTTGAACCTGGGAAGCAGAAGCTAAAGAATCGCTTGAACCCAGGAGGCAGAGGTTGTAGTGAGCCAAGATCATGTCACTGAACTCCGGCCCTACAGCCTATGTGCCAGAGTAAGAGTCTGTCAAAAAAAGAAAAAACACAAAAAAACATATATTTGTAAAACTCAGAGCTATTATGAAACCCACTAAACTCAGTAATTCTATAGTGCCTCTACCATTATGCTAAATAAGTAGTAAATAATTTTCTGATGATACACATACTCACCAAATTTGATGACCAGTGAAGATATGTTTTTAGCCAAAATACTCCAGCTTTGGGATGAAGAGTAAGTGCACTGGATTGGATTAGAATGCAGTTTAGATATATCTATTTGTTATAAGTCTACCTCTTAATAAAAAGTGTATTTTTTTTATTGGATTTTAGGTTTTGGGGTACATGAGCAGAGCATGCAAGACAGTTGCGTAGGAACACACATGGCAGTGTGCTTTTCTTTCCTTCTCCCCTTCACCCACATTTGGCATTTCTCCCCAAGCTATCCCTCCCCACCTCCCCCTCCCACTGGCCCTCCCCTTTTCCCCCAATAGACCCCAGTGTTTAGTACTCCCCTTTCTGTGTCCATGTGTTCTCATTTTTCATCACCCGCCTATGAGTGAGAATATGTGGTGTTTCATTTTCTGTTCTTGTGTCAATACCACTCTGTTTTCAAAAACACACCAAAACACAACTTTTGTTTCCTAAAAGTGTTTAATGACATTTATTTATTACATCTGAATGATTTATTACTGTATTGTGGCATAGCATCACTTAAAGTTGTTTGGATTTTTTAAAACTATTCCCGAAAGATTTACAGCTACTTTCTCCTGCTTTCTTGGCTTTTTCCTATTATCAGTATAATGTGAATGATGTCTCTCATGTACTGCTGATTTCTTGAGCTTTTAGGTACCACTTGGCAAATATATCAAACGACAGAGAGGAAAAATGGAGGTATTTTTACACTGAAATTTTTTTTCAATGCAAAGCTCTTTTCCTCATATTTAGGTTAGATTATGTGTGCATCATGACCTAGGATTGGAAACCTAGTGGCTACTAAATTGGGACTCTTCTAAAGCCAAACCAAACAATTTGAGCTCGAATTATGGACCATTCACACACGTTATTAAACCTAGCAAGATGAGAACGACAGTGTCTGACGAAAGTTTGAATCTAGTGAAAAAAAAGATTCACTTTGGGGAAAATGGCTAATACAAAATTAAAACTTTAAAATATGTACTACATTAGTGTTCTCTGGGCTGACAATATTCTCAGTGTCTACAGAGTACAGAAAAGCTAGAAATAGCTAATGTAGCTTTTGAGGATAACAGGAATTTTGTTTGGTTTTGTTCTTATGTTTTCTTCAAAATGTTGTATTTTATAGAAGTATTTATGTTATTTTCATTGGTTAAAAAACCTCGAGTCTCTTCCAGGAGGGATTGTTTAAAAAAAAAAAGATCTTAAGAAGGATGAATGAGAAAGAAATAAGTCAATATGTCTTTTATATAAATCAATCTCTTAAAAATCTCAATAAATATTTTAATCTAATAAAATACCTTTGTAGCCTACTAGCATTCTAAAATACCAACTATAAGTTTTCAAGTTCATTTCTTAGAGCTTTGAAAGAATAATAGATATATGAGAAAGTTGATGGACTTAATAATCGTTATGGGAAAAGATACAAATATAACAATGAAAGATCCTGGAGATTATTTTAACCATTTAATTAAGAAAAAGAGAGAGCCCCATTACTCAGATAATTTTTTAAAGTCAATATTACTATAACTCACTATATTAAAGGCTTTCAAAATGAAGGAATTAGTCATGGAATAAAATTTTGCATGATTAATGATATTTAATTTTTTTATTTAGTTGTAGTGCTAACTTAACTGCTAATCGAAATACAATTTACAGAATGTATTATTTTGTCTAGAAATTAACAGCTGGCTTGTAAGAAACATTTAAGTTAGGTTAATTACTGCCTTTTACATTTTTATAATATGCTGCTACAGAAAGTTAATGATGCTCACAGTATTTAGCATAGTTCATAACCCATATTTTAATGAAAATATAGTATTATTAATGATACAGATATAATATAGTCTAATTGCTGGTCATTTTATGTCTGTCCTATATAATTCTATAAAATGAAGCCATATTCATCCTGCTTATTAATTTTGACTTCACAGAGAAAAATTTGCATTTAATATATTCATGTGTATATTGGATTATGTGAATTTAATCAACCTAAGGCATGACAAGTGGGGTTTGACTGACAGATTCTCAAGATTCTAATCTGGTCAAGAATTCATTTTTCTTTCATCTTATCACAGTCATATGAGAATCTTAAATTAAACTGAACATGTTAGCATTTTAAGTAGCATCCATTTTCTTCCTGAGCGCTATGCCGAAAGTGAGATAACTACTTGCATAGTGTCCATGAAGAGGTGTTTCCATAACATGCCCTAATATTAAATTTGTAACAACTCCAGTTCTGGTGTCTCAAATGTAAGTTTCTTACGGAGGCCTAAGTTAAATTTTTTTTCTTTTTCTGTAGCAAAAATCAGGGTTCCTTGTATTATATTACCAGCCAGATTTAAGTTTCTCAAATTGGGTCACTGCTTTCTTTAGTCCCACTAAATTCAGTGATATTCTTTATGCCAGTGGCTAGTTATTGGCTATAGGACTTCTCCAAAATAAGGACTACAATTATAGGAAAGAAATGGTGTACCTCTGAGCTAATATGAGAACACATATTTTTAGAACCATAGGTTAGAAATACTAGGAAAAATGTCTTGGTATTTGTACTGGAGAAGATAATTTTTGAAATATAAGACTGCTGTGAAATGCCTGCAGAAAATTTGATAAATATATTTCATGA